CCAGCAAAGATGGCTCACCCAGCAGCTGTGAGAGGAGGCAGGGCTGAGTGTGGGGGCCATGTACATAGGAGAGGCCTGTAAGGAGCAGGATGGGATGTCCAAGTCTGGTAATGACGAAGAGACAGCACTGCTGCAGCACCGTCCTCTCCCATGCTGCATGGCCCCTGCCCTGTAGCAGGAGGCAGGGATACCAGCTGTCCAGGGCTGGAATGCAGCCAGCCTGGCAGCACCTTGCTCTTAGTCCATGTCATCGTTCAGGCTGCTGAGGCGACTGTGCTCCTCATAGATCTCCCTCACGGCAAGGATGCGGTTAAGCATGCTCTCCAGCATGCTCCGGTCCATGGGAATGGCCGAGTACCAGAGCGGGGACTCAGCGATGCATGACCGTTCAGGCTGCAGGTAGAAGACATCGTTGCGGTTCCGCAGACTCTCAGGACTGTAAAGGGAGAGGAATGTGAGCCCTGGGATATCAGATTCAGGGGCTCAGAAAGCCTGGATGCCCTCTTGGTTATCAAGGGAGGCTCAAGGCTTGTCACAGACTCACATCCTTTGACAGGATGAGGACACAAACTGAGTCTGCAGCTCCTCACTCAGGACTAAAGCCCCTAACCAGTCAAGCACCAGGACTCATACTGCACACTCCTGCCTGTCTGGAGAGAGGCAAGTAGTGGAAGGGGCCAGAGAGAAGCATTCTCTCAACCATGGTGTGTATAGAAGCAGTGCAGACCCTGGCCAAGAATCAAGTACACTCAAGTACAAATGTTTGGAGAGCAGCAGCCACTCCACAGGGCCCCACCAAAACTGAGAGGTGGCCCCAAAATGGCACATGTCCCTTCTCCAGAGAAAGTCTCACCATTTGGAGAGATAAAACTCATAGAACTTGACTGGGCATCGGAGTGGGTTCATCCTGTTCTCCCGCTGCTCCAGCATCGGTACTTCCTCCTCGCGCTTCCGCTTTCCAGAACTACCATCTGCAGAGGGGGAGAGAGCAGGATCACGGCTGGGACCCAGTGGTGGAGGCAGGGAGAGGGACGCAGAGATGCTCTATCAGACCCTACCTCGGCCTTTCTTCTGCTTGGCAGGAGCACAGTAGCGGATGCTCACCACCTTTGTCATGCCACGGGCCGTGGTGCACTTGCGGGACTGGCGCACCACATTGGTGAAGGAGAGCTGCATGTGCTCCTCTGCTGTCTGCAGCCCAAAGAACTTGGTGTTGAAGAACATGAGGGTGTTAAGGAGCACGAAGGGTGAATAAACGCCCAGCTGCTTGCACTCCCAGAGGTGCTCCTCCTCGACACGTGAGAAAACTGTATCTGCAACATGCAGAAGAACCAGGTCACATCAACAGTGGCCTTGTGGCAATCCCTTCACCCTGCCCAGGCAAGCTCACTGCAAAAGACTGACACTTCACAACATCTCTTTTTCTTGAGGTTACTTCTCCAGAGCCATCAGCAGAGCTAGATGCTGGCTCCTGCCTAGACACACAGGTCCGGAGCCAAATGCCTCTGCCTGGGACAGCCAATATGCAGAGGTGAGGCTGGATCTATGAACAAACCACTGAGAAGACACAGCAGGGAAGGCAGCCCAGACCACAGCATCACGGAAAGCCTCTGCAGAGCTCTAAGTTAGTCTGCTCACAAGGCAGCAGCACAGCAACCCTGGCCAACACTTAGCACAGCATGCAGAGCTCACCCATATGCTAGGAACACAAAGGCATGGGCCAGCGTGCCTCCTGGCTTGGTATCCTCTTTGCCAAAGGGTAGAAACATCACTATGAAGTGTCGTAAAGATTCAAACTGTCCCAGCAGACAAAGCAGCTGTGCTCTGCTCGCAGCTGCCCTGACTCTGGGCAACAGAAGCTGCTGAGGCCTAAACCAGGCTGTCTCTGCTGGCAGTATGGCAGCACAACCCCAAGACACAGCAGGACTGTGCTGCCTATGCCAAGGAAGAGGGTTGAGACTGGGGGAGCACAATCAGACCAGAGGATCCAAGGCTAGCAGCACACACTGGGTATGTGTAGTGACTGAAGGCAATCTGGAGACACTTACTATTTGGTAAGATTGTGGGTTGCCAGCCGCTCAGGGACTTGTTCAGCTCCTGCACGAAGGTCAGGTAGTAAAGGTCTGTAAATATATTCACCATACGATTGTTCTCGAGCAGGTACTAGAAAGGACAGAACACACAGTCAAGAGAGACACGTCAGCACCTGGAACGCAAACCCTCCCCAGAGAGCCCAGGGCATACATACAGAGCACCCCTCCTTGTACAACCAGACCTGCAGGGCAGACTCCTAAAACCATGCACTTCCGAGGGCTGTGAGGAAAACCCCAGGACATGACAAAACAGACTTGGTGCTGAAGAAGGGACTGAGTCTGGGGAAATCTCCCAGCCCTCCTCAAGGATGTGCAAGAAAGGTGCAAGGCTGGGGAATAGCTGCCACCCTACCCAATGGGCTTGGCAACAAAGACCGAACCAGGTGGGCTGCTGTCCTGGGGTGAAGCACTGAAGGGGAGTCCGGTGAGCTTCTCTGGGCCCCCAGAAGGCAGAATAAAAGGTACACACTCCCCTCACCAGATCTGACCCCCAAGTCTGGCTGTGAAGAACTTGAGGGAAGTAAGCCCTCCCTCACCTGCTGGATGCCAAGGCAGAGGTAATAGATGCTGTCAGGTTCATAACGTTCTCCATTAGGCCGTGTTATCTCCTTGACAAACTGTGCCAGGCCATAGTTGAGCTCAGCTGCTGTGCAGGCCAAGATGTCCTCCTTGATCCTCATGGGCTTGGCTGTGGAGACAAGCGCATCAGTCTCAGACAATAGCCTCAAGGGCCAGGAGCACCTCAAGACCCAGGTTCTGGGACGTTTCTGCCACTCCACCCCATCCAGACAGGGCACTTACGGCCAAAACGTAGCTCCTCTCCCTTGCTGGTCTCTCCCCCTGCATACTTAGCTTGCACCCAGGACTTCCAGGCATTCACACCGTATGAGTAGTTCAGCACTGTGCAGTTGGGCTGGCTGCTCACTGAGTCCCGGGAGCAGCTTTCAGAGAGCACCAGACGCTTCTGCCCCTGCAGAGAGGTGTACTGTGAGACTGGACACCTACCTGGGACAGATGCAAGAGTCCCGGCCACCCCTCAGACCTGCTGACTGCCAGCTCATTCCCAGTGTGCCTGCACTCATGCCAGCAGGCATCCTTCTGCTGACAGCTAAGCCAGCAAGGCCCATTAGTTAGGAGGACCAAAGGCAGAAAAGAGACCAGCTCTCACATGACCCATGGCATTCAAAGCTCCTCCGAAGTGACAGGCAAGTATTTTCATTCAAGGAGTGTCCCACAGGACATGCCAGACATGCCCTGAAGGGAGAAGGCACAACCCCCCCAGCACACCAAAGCCTCTGTCACACTTCACCTCGTATGTCCCAGATGGCAGCTCCTACTCCAAACCCAAAGAACTTTAAGCAGACAGTACCTACGGAGAGCTCACCTTTC